CGACTGAGCCACCCAGGCGCCCCAGCATTTCTGGTCTTGAGTAGGATCTTAGCATCATGCTGAAAGGGTGTCTGATAAATGTTTGGATATTGTTCAGCTCTAAGTAGGAGTCAGACCTTTCCTGATCAAGGTGATCCTATTCCTCTCACCTGACAGTCTGAATCCAGGCCAGCTTGCAATGTTAATTTTAATGCCTTGTGTGGTTTCCTTTCCTTACTTTTTGATTCTTGAAGTTGGAAAGAATTTAAAGTATATTCTGAAATAGCAAGAGGCTACTTTAATGTTTGGCTGATAGTTTCCATTGTTCTCCCTGATAGTTTTAGAACATTTAAAACATGAAGTGTAGTACTCTGGGCTGTATAAATTCTGGAAGTGTACAGAAGAGGTATTAGAAGCAAGTCTTGAGATTTTAGTTTATTACATAATAAGAAATTTTTTATTTTTGAGTGCACTTGATTGGGAAGGGTTCAAGGAATGCTATTTGTGTTAGATAAGGCATTATATATAGAGGTACTGTTTCTGTAAATCTCATTGCTGTTGGTTTCTTTGAGTGATTCCCTTCCCTTCCTCCCATTTGGTGACTAAGAACTGGAAAATGTAACTTGCTGGTAATAGTGAATAGCAATGAAAATTACTTACAGAGTTAGTGGTTCAAAACTCAAGAGTCAGAAGACATGATTTTTCAACTCTGGTTCTGCCACTTAGTTGAGTTGACTTTCACTGAATGCTTCCTCATCAGTAAAATTGGAGTGAGTTTGGTGGTATCCCCTCTATGTATGTCACAGGATTGTTGTGAAATAAAATAAGAGGAAAATGCTCAATAAACTAAAAAGCACTGTCTTATTACTGGATGATCACATCACCTGCAGTGCTAATTTATATGTCCAGAACTTAGTGAAGCAGCAAAGACAGTGTGTGCACCTTAGGTGCCTTACCATTAGAAACAAGATGATCTCAGTAATGATACCAAGTTCTACCTGGTATGTATATCACTTTGACAAAAAAAGAAAAGTAGCATAGAAAGCTGGTGGAGAAAATGTCCGTTTCTTTTTCTGACTTGCCCACTTCTGCAATGAAAGAACACTAACCTGAAATGGAAGAGGTGATTCTGATTCTGACACTAATCTGTTACTTCAATTCGGGTCGTCACTTTATCTCCCTATTTGTTTCCAAAGCATGTGCTTTAAAATTAGATCTTTATTCACATTCCAACTCTACCACTTATTAAGAATTGCCTTGACTTAATTTTACTGTGCCTCAGTTTCCTCATTAATAACAAGGGGTAAGTAATCAATTTTGAGAGAATGTTGTATATTTTTCATATTATAGGATTAAATAAGATAAAGCATGTGTACAGCCTGGCACATGATTGGTGTTCAATAAATGGTCATTGTCCTTATATTGTTAAATAATCTATAAGGACTTAAACAGTTTGAAGTCTGATTTGGTTTGCTTTCATTGTATTTGTTTTCATTATGGCTGAATAGGCAGATTTATATTCCTATTTTGGTATTAAAATATACCTATAGCTTTAGAAGGTAAATTCATTTCCAAGAAATGACACATGCATATAGGTATTTATATATGTATATATGTATGTATTTATATGTGTGTGTTATATGTATATTATGTATATATACATATATAAATATGCATATACATATAAATATACGTATATGCATAAAATATAAATTATATACATATAATAACATATACATATAAATATGTGTTATACATATATAATATATGTATACACATATAAAGAAATGACATATATGTATATTTATATGTATACATATTTATCAGTTTTTAGTGTTTAATACAGTATATTCAAAAGATTATTTATACTTGAATTAATTCCATATAACTTTGCAGTTAATTAAAGACCTGGTGCCATTGTATTCTTGAGTCTCAGAAGTGAACTACATTTTTGCTTATATGACTTCTGTTGTGTTTTTCCTACAGGCATTTTTTACCATCTGTGAAAACTTCCCTGTAATTCATTTCTCCTCACTGCAGTATTAAGAATTATACCAAGTAAGTGGAATGTGGTAAAACCAATTAGTCAATTTTATAACAGTCGATGGGAATTTAATCATTTAATGATTAAACAAAAGTTGCTACCTGTTTTGTTCTAAATAGAATGTTGAATGTGATCTTGTAAGTAAGAAAAGGATTTTTTCTTGAAAATTATATTCTGAGCTTCTATGTGATGAGTATATTTTCTGGAAGTCAGGGGATCAATATAGACTTGTGTAAATATTTTTTTAAGGGAATATATCCACCTTTAGCTTGAAAACTGTATCAAAATATTGCCAGTTGTAAGAAATGTACCTGTCGGGCTCCTGGGTGGCTCAGATGGTTGGGCGTCTGCCTTTGGCTCGGGTCATGATCCCAGGGTCCTGTATCGAGTCCCGCATCGGGCTCCCTGCTAGGTGGGGAGCCTGCTTCTCCCTCTGCCTCTGCCTCTCTCTCTCTCTCTCTCTGACTCTCATGAATAAATAAATAAAACATTTAAAAAAAAAAAAAAGAAATGTACCTGTCTTAGGGTGCCTGGGTGCCTCAGTCAGTTAAGCGGCTGCCTTCCACTCAGGTCATGATCCCAGGGTCCTGGGATCAAGTCCCGCATCGGGCTCCATGCTCAGCAGGGAGCCTGCTTCTCCCTCTCCCTCTGCCTGCGTGTCTGCCTACTTGTGCTCTCTCTGTCCCTGTCAAATAAATAAATACAATCTTTAAAAAAGAAAAAGAAAAGAAATGTACCTGTCTTATTCTTAATATGGTACCGTAACAATTTTTTTAATAAAAAGTAATTTAAGAGTATGGTTTATTGTCATTATACAGTTTTCAAAATTACATCAACATGTGAAATGGACTTCTCAACATCACCAAGAAAAAAAAAACAGGTATTGGTGTCCTGCCTTTAAATTTGATCAGAAAAATAAATCCAAATATAAATGGAAGCATTGGGTTTTTTGGGGGGGTTTTTTTGTTTTTTTTTTTTAAGATTTTTTTTATTTATTCATTTGAGACAGAGAGATACAGAAAGAGAGAGAGCATGAGCAGGGGGAGGTGCAGAGGGAGAGGGAGAAGCAGGCTCTCTGCTGAGCAGGGAGCCGGATGCGGGATTCGATCCAAGGACCCTGGGATAATGACCTGAGCTGAAGGCAGCCGCTTAACTGACTGAGCCACCCAGGCGCCCCAAATGGAAGCATTGTTTAACACTTCTCTTACAAAGTAGATTTTCAAGTGGTGCATACATTTCTTATTACCAGTAAGTTCTTTGGTTAGAAGGAATTTTTATAAAATATTAACAATCTTTATTTGTGATATTTTTATTAAATTTTTCCATTTTTAGATTGAAAAGATATGAATGAATATCCTAAAAAAAGAAAAAGGAAGACATTACACCCTTCTCGTTACTCAGGTCAGTGGATTATTTTAAAGTTGGGCCCTGGATTAAGTCCCATGCAATTGTATTCTTATCCATTTTCTCATAAATGATCAGATAACAGTTAAATATGTGGGTCAATTTTTAAGTAAGAGAAAACTTTAAGTTCTCTGAATATATATTCCTCATTGTCTGCCATGTGCTAGGCACACATCAGAAGTCTACGGACATTATTTAATACTTACAACTTAAAGGTTGAAAGATATTTAAAATTAGATATCCAGGGTTGCATGCTTATACAGCATAACTGAGATTTGCTTGTGTGATTCCCAGGCTTGTCCTTAAGGCACAACATTAACCTTGGTGGAAGATATTTGGATCATTGGGAAAAAATTTTTTATCCTATACATTATTTTCAGAAATGTGAACTTTATTTTGATTGTGTTATTTTAGGTCCTTTGGTTGAGGTTGGCTCTGCTATCCTGGCAATAAGAGAGGTCTTAAGAAGACTCATGTGGAATTTAAGAAACAAAACAGAGGAGCATAGGGGACAGGAGGGAAAAATAAAACAAGATGAAATCAGAGGAAGACAAACCATAAGAGACTCTTAATCATAGGAAACAAACAGGGTTGCTGGAGGGGAGGGAGGGGGGGGAATGGGGTAACTGGGTGATGGACATTAAGGAGGGCACATGATATAATGAGCACTGGGTGTTATATAAGACTGATGAATCCCTGAATTCTACCTCTGAAACTAATAATATATTATTTGTTAATTAATTGAATTTAAGTTAAAAAAATAATAAAGTATATATTGGTGCAAAAAAAAAGAGAGGTCCCTGTGTGGCCACCTGTAACTAATCTCACATATCTATATTTGAGACAGTCTCTGGCATACCTGCTAGCCCACCCAAGCTACACATTCTTCATATCTGAGGAAATTAAGCCTGATTTACTGCCCCCATCCCCTCCCAGACAAGACTTGAAATGACTATTCAGAAGCCCTAATTGGTTCTTAGACCATTTCCCCTATGCCTTGTGCTTTCTCTTCACTACATGTCCGATCTTCTTGGTAGTTAATTCATTGTTTTTTGTAGTTAATACATTTATCACATATTTATAATTTGTGCAATTCTGACAGTAAGGCAGATCTATCTTTGTGCACTTCAAGTGTTGTATTGTAAATCATGTAATTTGTGGTTCTTTCATGAAGTTCAATGTCAGTATCTTTTCAGAATTGAAATATTAATATTTTTTACAAATATGATAATTTATATATGTTGGATAAAGGGATGGCTGTTATTAAATGTATGTATGTTTACTTGAAATTTTTAAAATTTTGCTCTTATGTTCAGATTCTTCTGGAATAAGCAGAATTGCAGATGGATTCAATGGAATTTTTTCTGATCATTGTTACAGTGTTTGTTCTATGAGACAGCCAGACTTAAAATATTTTGACAACAAAGGTATGTATCGTATTTTCCAAAATATCCTTTAAGTTGCTTTTGATGTATTTTTATTTCTTACTTGAAAATGTGAGTGAAAATTATGACTTCTAAATGGGCAAGTATTCTTTGTTTAAATGTAAGGAAATAAGGCTTTTTGTAAGAAAGCAAGTATGAATTTTTAATTTTTAACATTATTTCAGACCTATAAATAAAAAGCACACTCTCCTAAGTCCATTTTAGGTGGCAAGGAATTGGTAGAAAATCAGGACTGACCTAGAGTTGGGAGCATTTATGATGAAAGGTTAGGATAGTGTTAAAACACAGTTCTTCTACTCAGCTGTAGTCTAGAGGGCTAATGGAAGGAAGGAACAGAGGGTGAAGGATTTGGTGTTTTTCAGTCTTGCATCTTTTATTGAGTCTTTTCGAGAGCATTGGGTATATGATAAAAATTTGCATTTGCTCTCTTCTTTCTTTGCAACCATCAAAACTGCCAATTTCCTTGAGCTCCTATCAGAGGCACAGAAACATAATTTTTTAAAAAGCATAAGGAGTTGGAGGCATTTTTATGAACTCATGTTTGGCTTAATAGAGACACAGATGGTTACATACAGAGATATTTATAGATACGTCTGTGTATATGTAGCAGTGTACAAACGTTTTTACTCTGTTAGCTGAGAGGGCCTAAAAGAAATGACGCCCCAGTAGAAGTGAGCCCAGATTTTGGTTTCTAAAACCATTCTCCAACAAAAAGAACTAGCACTTGGAGAAATGGCTGATTCTAGTTCTGAGGCAGGGAAATACATAAGATGAGCCTGGAGCATTTTGTAGTGCCAGAAAATAAGGAAGTACTCAACACACGCACAAAATACAGGTACTTCAAAGGAACACAGGAGCCAACTAAAAAAGCTCCCAGTAGCCACAGCTGAAACAATTTGAGGGAAAAAAAAGAATTATAACCCAAAATATAAAATATTCCTGAGTCCATACTGATGTGATTGAATGAATAAATAAATTAGGAAGAAACTGTATAGAAGAATTCCATATTATTTATGTGGAGGCTCCTCCCTCAAGGAAGTGGAACATAACTTTCCACTCCTTAAATGAGGACTGCATACAGGGAGTTTGTTCCAAAGCATAGAGTATGGAAAGTAAAAGCGTGACTTTACAGCAGAGAAACCTGATCAATACTACTTCACCCAGATGATCACAGTCAACATCTACAGTAATAAATCATGTTAGTACTATGTACCCTTGATGTGATGTGATTGAAAATGGCAGCTTGCCTCTCTAGTCTACCTCTAATAACCCATAATCCCAGTCTAATCATGGGGTATCCTACAAAATACCTGACCTCTACTCCTCAAAACTGTCATGGTCATCAAAAACAAAGTCGGAGAAACTGCCACAGCTAACAGTATCCTAGAGAGAGGTGACAGCTAAATGTAATGTGGAATCTTAGGATCTTGAAACAGAAAAAGGACATTAGGTAAAAACTAAGGAAATCTGCTTAAGTATGGACTTTAGTTAATACCATCTTACCGGTATTGGTTATTAATTGGAATAAATGTATCATATTAAGAGCATGGAGATACTGAAATGTAATGTAAGAGAATGGAGAAACTGAGAATGCAGGATATAGGAATTCTTTGTACTATCTTCTCAGATTTTTTCTGAGAACTTCTAAAAAATAAAGTCTTAAACAACAGTGACATGATGTTGAAGCCCAGTTTTTTCTGCTGACCTGTATTTTAGTTTCCCCATGCTAACTTTAAAACACTGGGTCTGGGCTGAGGGAATAAAGCTTATTCAGACTTTCATTAAACTGAAAATTCCTAAGTAACTTTAAAAAGTATATTCTAGTCCAAATGGGGCACAGACGCAAAAGCAGTTGCTTGTTTGGACGGGTTTTTTTTTTTGTGTCTGTTGGATAACATCTCTTTTCCTGGCTAAATCTGAGTCCTTTAGTTCCTGTTGGAATTCAAAATTATATTTAAAGTGTTTAGTGCTTTGTTTAGTAATAATTAATATTTAATGCTTTGATATAAATAATAAGTATTTTTCCAAATCTCTTTTTACAGATGATGATTCTGATACAGAGACATCAAATGACTTGCCAAAATTTACAGATGGAATCAAGGCCAGAAATAGAAATCAGAACTACCTGGTTCCCAGTCCTGTACTTAGAATTCTAGACCACACTGCCTTTTCTACAGGTTAGGGAAGCCAGTTGATAGCATTTATTTATTTTATATAGATTAATGAAAAAATTAGGGATAAAATAAATTTTTTGCCAATTTATTCAGTAGGTCTTATTTAGTGATAATAGATGTGTTATATTTTTCAGAAAAAGCTGCTGATATTGAAATTTGTGATGAAGAGTGTGACTCACCTGAGTCAGTCAACCAACAAACTCAAGAGGAGAGTCCTATAGAAGTTCACACTGCTGAAGATGTTCCAATTGCTGCAGAAGTGCATGCAATTTCTGAAGATTATGATATAGAGACAGAAAACAATTCCTCGGAAAGTCTCCAAGACCAAACTGATGAGGAGCCACCAGCTAAACTTTGCAAAATTCTTGACAAGAGCCAAGCTTTGAATGTGACTGCCCAACAGAAGTGGCCTTTACTGAGAGCCAATAGCAGTGGCCTCTATAAGTGTGAACTTTGTGAGTTCAACAGCAAATATTTTTCTGATTTAAAGCAGCATATGATCCTGAAGCATAAGCGTACTGATTCAAATGTGTGTCGAGTATGCAAGGAAAGTTTCTCTACCAACATGCTTTTGATTGAACATGCCAAACTGCATGAAGAGGATCCCTACATTTGTAAATACTGTGATTATAAAACAGTGATTTTTGAGAACCTCAGTCAGCACATTGCAGACACCCATTTTAGTGACCACCTCTATTGGTGTGAGCAGTGCGATGTACAGTTCTCCTCAAGCAGTGAACTCTACCTACATTTCCAGGAGCACAGCTGTGATGAACAGTACTTGTGTCAGTTTTGTGAACATGAAACAAATGATCCAGAAGACTTGCATAGCCATGTGGTAAATGAACATGCATGTAAATTAATTGAGTTAAGTGATAAGTATAACAATGGAGAACATGGACAGTACAGCCTCTTAAGCAAAATTACCTTTGACAAATGTAAAAACTTCTTTGTATGTCAAGTATGTGGTTTTCGGAGTAGACTTCATACAAATGTTAACAGGCATGTTGCTATTGAACATACTAAAATTTTTCCTCATGTTTGTGATGACTGTGGGAAAGGCTTTTCAAGTATGCTAGAATATTGCAAACATTTAAATTCACATTTATCTGAAGGGATCTATTTATGTCAATACTGTGAATATTCAACCGGACAAATTGAAGATCTTAAAATTCATCTAGATTTCAAGCATTCAGCTGACTTACCTCATAAATGTAGTGACTGCTTGATGAGGTTTGGAAATGAGAGGGAATTAATAAGTCACCTTCCAGTCCATGAGACAACTTGATTATTTTCTTTAACTGCCGTAATGTTAATGTAAAATAATAAATTTGACTTTTTTGGAGATGTGAAAATGGATGATTTTAAACATAACTTATGAGAATTGCTTTTAACAAATAAGATTTTTTTAATTGTCCAATTTTCTTGGCATTGCTACATTTTTCAGTATATAATGGTATCCTAAATGTGGTATTTTCAGTGCATGGTAGTTTTAACCACTCTTGGTATCTGTCGTCTTGTTTCTTACATAAGCTCTGATTTCATGAATTGATGAGAAACAGATGTACTAAAGAAACTAGACTACAGTTTTCCTTCTGTAACCATGGGTGCTATTAAATTTTTTAAACTCAAGATGAACTCAGTTTTTCATGTATGAAGTCATTAAAGTACTGCATTATCAGAACTTAAATGCAATGTACCATACAATTAAGTCCACTGATAGTCCCATTAAGAACCCAAACCTAGATAATCCCCATCAGGAATTATCCCCAAGACTCAGTGGACGCTCCATCTGTGTAATTCTTTTAACAACACTAGGAGGCAAGTGTTACAGTAGGAAGGGAAGATCTAGTTTTGTTGGCGGTCTTTTTTTTTCTCTTTTTTTTAATTCTCATTCAATTTTAGCCCCAATCTGTGAGTTAAATGATTTAAGATGGGAGTGAGGAAGAACTGGTAAGGGATTAGACAATAAAACCAGTTGTAACATTTCATAGCTCAACCTTTTCACAATTCATTTTCAGTTATGCGACAGCAAAGTAAGCCCAAGATGCTGATGTCAAATCATTTATTGACTGCGAAAACCCACTGAGGTATTAATCTAGAATTAGGAAGATGTGGAAGATAAGGGGTTCTGGCTTTCTTCTTGGCTTATAGATGGCCGTTTTCATTCACATGGTGTTCTCTTTGTATGCAAGTCTATTTCTCAAACTTCCCTTTTTTATAAGATCACCAGTCATACCAGATTAGGGTTAACCCTGATGACCTTATTTTAACCTAGTAAAGATCCTGTCCCCAGATACGGTCATATTTTGAGGTGCTGGGGCTTAGGACTTGAACATTTGAATTGGGAGATGGGAGAAAGAGACATAACCACAATTCAATAGCAGCTTCTTAAATAGCGGTATCACAAAGATATGATTTGGTCTGTCAATGAACTCCAATAAACACTGCTGCTAACAAACGGCAGTGTTCAGGAATATTGCTATAGTTGAAGAGATCAATTTATGATCTGTGGTTTTCCCACTACAAGAACCGTGGAAATTTAATCTATCTTGAGAATGGTGGCAGCAACAAGTTTTTTCAAAGCCAATCATTTTTAACTCTTATTGTCAGATATGCATAATTGTATTCCTAGAAATTCATCAGGGCTACCTGATAGAAATGTTTCTGAGAAAACTTAATATCAGAGTGGTTTAAACTGGACTAGAATCTTAGAAACCATCTGGTCTAAATCCTCTAGTTCTCTAAGTTTCTTACAGAAATAGGCCAAGGTCACAAAACCAGTTGTAGCAGACAGGGGTGGGATCCAAGTTATTTGGCTTCCAGTCTAATAATGTTTCCATTACACCATGTTACATTAAAATATAAGCTTTGTCCTTGGGGTGTTTTTCATGATTACTTAACCTAGCTGTTCGGCTACCTTCTTGGTAATTCTGTTTTTATGCCTTTTTTATATACATACACCTTCAAGAATTTTATTTTTAGGAAACAAACTAATGCCTTGGTAGGTTTTTTTCAATTTTGTATTTTATTGCTTTACATTTGATCACATTAGTAATCAAAGTAATTGTAAGGAAACCTCAAGAGATATTAATTCAAGTTTTAGAACCATATAATTTTGTGCTTTTGATGAATCTGCATCTTGAGGCCACATCCCACTGACAGTTTGTCCAGTAAAAACTTTTTGCTTTGACTCAGCTTTCAAATAAGTCAATGACACCATAATTTGCTTGGGTAGCTGGTTTATATTTTTAGCTTATTAAAGAACTTCTTCAGAAAAACAACCCTAACTAAAAAGAGATTTTTCTAACTACTTCTGGGTTTTTCCCCCTCAAAAACAAACATTTCCACTGAACTCTTGTGATTTGAAGCACAGTTCAAGTCTGAGAATACATAACTGATAGTGATGTTTATTAGCACTACAATAGAATTCTTGGCAGCAAGAATTCTTGGCAGTATTGGGCCATTTTTTTTTCTTACTTTTTTTATCTTCACCTTGCAATGAGTTATTACTTATGGAATTCCAAATTCCCCTGTACTCCAATATTTGAAAGTGACTGTGCACTACTCAAAAGCCTCTCCTCCTGCTTGTAAATTTGCCAGTTTTACCATTTTAAATCACCTCTCTTAGATTTCCTGAGTGTGTGTCATCACATACTAACCAGTTTCTCCATTTCACAGGGCCCACAGCCTGTTGTTAGGTGATTGCTGAGTTGTTAGCAGCTGTAGTATATGTAGGGCTTTTGTTTTTGTTTTTTTTTAATAGACTAACACTATTCCTAATTTTTAAATCTGACTTGGAAAGCATTGTATTACTTAATTTCCGACACTTTACCATTAACCTTACTTTTGCTTGTTTTGTCAGTATTACTACCTTTTGCAAGACGTTTAATATGTTTCCCAAATGACTATGATTCATTTTTAATGGAATTTTAATGCCTAAAAAGCACTATGACTTACACAAATTTGAAAAAGCTAATAAAAATCAAATGGCCACAGTCCTCTTGCGAAGCAGATTGGTTTGCCAAAAAATCAATACTCGTTAAGAATTTAAGTGAAAACAAATAGTTAGACCAAACATCCCAATGGAGAAGCCAATTTGATTGGTCAGGTTTACCCTATAATTAACACAGTCTCATTCCTATAAATTAAGATGAAATTTGGGGATATATATATTAGTTTGCCTGTAACTTTCAGTTCTGATGACTGAAGATAGAATATCTACAAGAATTTTTGTTCAAGGCATTTAGGTTATGGAATTACATATACTCCTAATATTGGTTTAGCTTTCCATAAATTAATCTTTTAAGACAACATTCAAATCAAAGAGAAAGAAATGTGTACATTTATGTTGTAAAATACATATTCACAAAGCTAAAAGTTGTCACGTAATTTACATATTTATATGAAGTTATATGTTCAATTTGTAAGTTTAAAAATTTTAAGACCGTGTTGTTTGAAGCCTACTTCATACTAGCCATTGAAAATAATTTTCTGGATAAAGACTTCCTGTATTAAAGCATCAGTCATCACAACTTCCTTAAGTTCATTCTCCTTAGTAATCTTGGTGTTAAACTGGTAACTACCCAAACCCAAAATAAATCTCATTTGTGAAAAGTAATTTCTTCATTCTAAAAAGAAACAATTTTGGAGGGCAGCTGGCTCAGTCAGTAGAGCATGAGACTCTTGATCTCAGGGTTGTGAGTTCAAGGCTCATGTTGGGTGTAGAGATTACTTAAAATCCTTTAAAAAAATGAAAATAAAAAAAATAATTTTCTCACATTGCTACATAGGAATATTATATTATCTACTAATATTATTCCCACATTTTAAGAAGGATGATTATTTAGACAGTTTTTTAAAGGAATTTTTGTTATCAAAACCTTTAAAAGTGTGTTATTTTTGGTCTTAAAAAGGCAAGTGAATATAACCTGAATAGCCTTTTTCTTGCTAAAAATATTGAGCTAAATGACTTATGCCCTGAGAAATTTAATGAAAAGTATGTTTTGAATGAAAACTAAAAGTTTTCTAGTTTTTAACCCCACCCGGGTAGTGTCCACTACCAAAAAACATTATAGTTGCCTTTCTTTTTCGAATAACCTGAGAGCAGGAATTGGAATCATACCCATCAAATGTAATTTCTGGTGGGTAATTGTTTTTCTTTATTTAATCCTCTATGTAAAGGCCATTCACCATTCTGTTCTGAATTTGAATTGACTGGAGTTTGAGACTATTTGATTCTCTTTTCCTGCCTACCCTGTTCATTTTATTTAGGGTTACCTCTTCTTTTAATGGCATTACTCATATTTCTAAAACATATTCCTCAAACAAAATCTGTGGTTGATTACCTTCATCTTTGCAACTCTTCCGTACCTCTTTTGAGTCCCCAGAAAGTTTCATAAGATTAAAGTTTTCCCAATTAGGGTGAGAGTAAATTTGTTTTCTTTAATTCTTCTATACTCCAAACTGTTAAAATAACTTACTTCCCTCACTCCATATACCACATCACTGGTTTCTGTACCCTATAAATATTTTATATGTTCCTGTCTAACAGCAGTTGGCCGTGCTGAATTTATAAATTCCGGTGTATCTATCTTGGATTTTAAGAAGCAGATTATCATGGCACAGATCTTAATAAATACTTCTTTATGGCCACAAGATTATGGTTATGTTCCTTATGGCACTGATCAGTGTTCTTTACTGAATAATTAAAATACTGAGGTATAGGAACTAACCTGGAATGACGAAATGTTTGTCTGGGAGGGACCTCAGAAGTCATCTAATCCAGACTCAAAGTGTACAACATATAAAAATAATTGTATGTGGTACAAGTTTTATTTTCATGGTTATAAATTATATATTAATCACATCAAATCTGATTCATGGATATTTTTACTTAGGACAAAACTCATTTTTTTAAGAAAAAAGATTGATTTGAAGAAAAATATGAAGTAAATAATAATACATAGACATGGAAAAAGCTGGGTAGGTGATACATGAAAGACTGAAATTTGAGAATACAAAATTCTGATCTAAGCTTGTTTATAGCTTAGAAAAATGGTTATCTAATATCATTAGTTAAATGCTTTTTTTTTAAGATTTTATTTATTTTATGGAGAGAGGGAGCGTGTGAGGCAGGAGGAGGAGCAGAGGCAGAGAAGAGGGAGATAATCTCCAGAAGACTCCATGTTGAGTGCAGAGCCTGAGGCAGGGCTCAAACCCATGACCCTGAGACCGTGACCTGAACTAAAACCAAGAATCAGACGCCTAACTGACTGAGCCACCCAGATGCCCCAGTCAAATGCTTTTTAAGCTAGAATAAATGGAACTTCTAATTTCCCCATCACTCTTCAAAAAAATTTCTTTAGATTCTAAAGTTAAAATGTGCCCTATTTTTTTTTTTCACAGAATGTTATACTAGACACCTGAAGAGAGTAAATGACAGATTAGAGAGTACTGGACCAAAACATGAGTGATTTTTAATCCGTTTGCTAACTATAAATCATATGACTATAACCATGAACAGTGGACATAATGTTACTAAATTTTTCTCAAATAGTCCATGAAGTCTCTTCAATTCCTTAAAAACTTCTATTTCACTACTCTTCAATTTAACAAATAGCTATGGAATATCTATTATCAAGCCATGTGCTCAGTGATATGAGGATAAAAAACTATGGTTCTTGTCCTCAAAGAGATTTACCGTATAATGCAGGAAACTCATCTCTCACATTTCTGAAGTCAATTCAGTTAAATATCAAACTGAGTGACTTTTGCATTTCTAAGTATTTGTTTTATGTACAAGGCTACCAGAACAGGGTGCCTGGGTGGCTCAATTGGTTAAGGCTACCAGAACATTCTTGTATGTGTTGAGGTGTTTTGGCTTTGTTTTGGTTTTCTTTGGGGGTGTGTGGGTGGGTTGAGTTACATATACACATAGTATACTTGTGATTAAATACTTCCAAAATATTATCCAGAATGGCTAAAGTTTATATTCCCATTAGCAAATCGTATTTCCCTACATCCTCACCAAAAATTAGTATCATACCACTTTTTAATTTTCTGTAAATCTGGGGGTCATAAAGTAGTACATTATTATTGTTTCAATTTGCATTATCAGATTACTAACAAGATTGAAAATATATTAATATACTTATGGGATATTTTGGTTTCTTATTTTGTGAACTGCCTCTCCTGGTTGACTTTCGAAAGTTCTTAATAAATTTTAAATATCAGTCCTTTGTTTCCTATATACACCGCAAAAAAAAAAAAAAACAACAGATTGTTATCTATTACTAATGTCTTTTGTTGAACAGAAATCTTTTTTTTTTTTTAAGATTTTATTTATTTATTTGACAGAGA